CATTCTATCAATTGAACCATGCTTCCAACATGGCCCTTTCTCCCTATTTGGAGATGGAAGCTTGCAGACTTTTTGTCCTAGCTGGCTTCACTCCTCCAGGATTTCAGCCAGATATCTATATAAAGTTCTTTGACAGGAGTTCATTATCTACTAAATTCTCAGTAAATACAACTGCTATTTTGGAACTAATCTTTTAATGAGAATGGGCTAATTTCACACCAAGAACCACCTTTGCCTGTCATGATATAATAAACACTCTGATACTTCAGTACTGATGTATCAACATAAAGTAGTAAAAAGATTATTCAGTATGTCTGGGACTGACCATTGGTCAATTATTTAGAAAAATATAAAATGACAGCCATACTACACAGGCTTGAGCTCATTCAAGAAGGAGTAAAGCCTTATGTGTAAAGCCATGAAATCCATTTTTAAAACTTAAGTAAGGATACATAAGTGTTTGTTAATCAGCCCTAAGGATAGGAAAGCTACTACAACAATGGAAGAAAACAAAAGTTAAAAGAAAGTTACAAATTCAAACACACAACCATTTTAAACTTCTTTGCAATTGGTTTAAGCTACTTAGGGCAAAGGACTCATGACTTAACACAGATGTATATTGGATTTATGAAAGTCCTAATCAAAACATGTTTGTATACTAACCAACCAGTTACAGGAAAAATAAGTCATGCAAATAAGAAAAATACATGAACTTGTACAGTTGGATACCTACTTAAAATAACAGTAATGTACAACTTTTTGTTTGTGACATCACTAAGGATGTTAAACAAGGGGTTAGACATTCTTAGCCCAGTGCTAGTGGTTCACACCTGTAATCCTAGCTTCTCTGGAGGCTGAGATCCAAGGATCACAGTTTAAGCCAGCCTGGGCATGAAAGTCAATGAAACTCTTATCTCTGGTAATCATGAAAAAGCTGGAAGTGGAGGTATGGCTTAAATAGAGTACCAGCCTTGAGCAAAAACAGAGAGAATGAAAACAGAGGCCCTAAATTCAAGCCTCGCCAACAACCCACCCCTAAGCGGGGGAAAAAAACCCAAACCCACAATTCTTTTATGAAAGAATGATGACATGAACAGTTTAAAATAGATATTTATTAACAGAAGGGAGAAGCACTAGACAAGATCTTCCTAGCTTCTGGCATTTGTCCTAATGAAATTCCCAGTGATTTGAACACCTATGCATAGGGACACTTACTTGAGTCTATTTCAAATTACAGACAGCTTAAAGATGTTCCTTTGTAGTTAAAAGGTGTACTTTCAGCTAAGCCAGACAGTAAATGATCAATTAGCAAGTGATAAATTGTGTCCACAGGAAGATACCAGATACACAATGTTTCTATGATTAGCGGTTAACCCATAGATGCAGTCTTATTCTGAAGTCACTTTCCTATTAGAATAAAGTAAATGTGTTCTTTCAAACACAGATATCTTTGGCAGATGTGGGTAAGCTCACTGGAAACAAACCTACCTGTAAAAAAAACATTGAGACAATTATAAACTATGAAAATGTGAAATATAAGAAAAAAACACATTTTGTGTAAATTTGTTCTCCTACCCTAAATTCATTGTTGATAGATATGCCCTTTCCTCTCTTGTTTCCAAGCCAGCTGTTGCTAAGTTACTGAGAAATACTTGGAAATGAAATGGTATTCCTTCACATCGATCTGAAAAGATCTTCTGCTTACTTTCAGTTTAAGTCCACAGTTTCTGACTCCCCTCACCTAGCCTCCAACTAGTGAGGCACATGTACTGTTTTTTTTTCTTTAATTCTTTAAAAAAGTTATTTTTCTCTCTCTTTCCCTCCTTCCCTCTCTCCCTGTATCCCTCCTTATCTCCCTTCCTTCTCCTCTGCTTACCTTTCCTTTCCCTTACCCCCATTTCCTTTCCCCCTTTCCCTTTCCCTTTCCTTTTCCCTTCCCTTCCCTTCCCTTCCTTTCTTCCTTCTTCCCTACCTTCCTCCCTCCCTTGCTTCCTTATCTTTCCTTTTTCTTTCTTTCCCTCCCTCTCTCTATTTCTCCCTGCTTTCCTTCCTTGCTGGCACCATCTCTATTTATTTATTATTTTTGTTTACTTATTTATAATAGAAGGATATATTTATTCATAAATGAGAGGTAACTAGTGCCAGCATGCTTTAACCAGTTCTGACTGTGGCGATCCGTCCACACTTCGGAAAATGACAAAAAAGAAACAAGTCCCTTATTGCTTCATGCATACAAGGAATAACCCACTTGTGCAAAGAGGATTCCCATGCAGAGCAGAGATGATGGCAAAGAGGCCTGCTCAGAAATGCAGGAGCATAAATTTGGCTAGGTTGGAAAGGACTAATGGGACTTAAGTGGAAACAGAGCCAGGTGCCAGTAGTTCAAACCCTATAATCCTAGCTACTTGGGAAGCTGAGATGAGCAGGATAGTGGTTCAAGGCCAGTCAGGCAAAAAGTTCTTGAGATCCCACCTCAATCTATAACTGGGTGCAGTAGGGCATACTAGGGCATACCTATTGCCACAGCTACAGTGGGGGGTGGGGGGAGCTTCTTTTTGATAAGTAAATCAAGTAAGACCAGAAGTCAAGAAAATATTGACCATCTTTTCCCGACAGGATTTAGTAGTATTGAAGCATAGCCTTAAGAATGTGCATAGACAATATAACTTACTGTTTTCCTTTTAGTTTGAAAATTACTAGCTTTTTACTGTCAAATTACAAGTGTATAATCACCTTTAACTACTCGAGAAGGACAGATTCTAGAAAATAGCGGAGTTTTGTTGTTGTTGTTGTCATTTTGTTTTTTGTTTTTTGGGGTTTTTTTTGGGTCCGGTCGTGGGGCCTGAACTCTGGGCCTGGGCGCTGTCCCTCAGCTCTTCAGCTCAAGGCTAGCGCTCTACCACTTGAGCCACAGCACCATTTCTGGCTTTTTTTTTCTGCTTATGTGGTGCTGAGGAATCGAACCCAGGGCCTCCTGCATGCAAGGCAAGTACTCTACCACTGAGCCACTTTCCTAGCCCCTGTCATTTTGTTTTTTTCTGAAAAATAACCACAAAGAAAGAGTCTGGATTTTATATCTTTTGTTATATCCTTCATTTTTGTCATGGTATTGCTTTTCTTTTTTTCCTGTGCTGTGTGTGTGCATATGTGTGTGTGTCTGTGTGATTGTACGCATAGAGCTGTGTGTATATATGTGCATGCACATATAAGGTGCGGTATATAAACACAGAATCCATGTATATGGAGGAAAAGATTGAGAAAGAGGGAAGGGAAGGATGCCCTTTAATCTTATTAACAAAAACACATTCCTAGAAAAAAGGTGACACAGATATAGTAGTAGATTTTTCTATTGAATCCTTTAAAATTAAATTTGGTAAACTTTTCTTTTCTATGTGTGTGTGCCAGTATGGGGGCTTGAGTTCCACTTACCTTTTTCACTCAAGGCTGGTGCTCCACCACATGAGTCACATTTCTACTTTCACTTCGACCTTTTTGGCTGGGAAACTGGAGACGAGTCTCTTGGATTTGTCTGCCTGGGTTACCTTTGGACTGTGATCCTCAGATCTCAGTCTGATGAATACCTAGGATTCCAGGTGTAAACTACCAGCACCCACTTAAATTTGGTAAATTTATCAAACCAATTCAGCATCAAGCACTACACAAGTAGTTTCACTTCGCTGTCCTCTGAACTCTGTATGGCCTTTTCACGTTAGAAATCTAATGACTTCATTTCCCACTGTCTGTAGTGAAAGGAAAAACTTTGGTGAATTGTAAGAACTCTTCAGATAAACACTTAAGGTTTACCTGTAAAATTCAACATTTAGTTGTGATGTACTAATCAGAAATTTTTCATATTTTCTGTTTGGGTTACATTTGCTTTGAATGGGTCATTTATGTTTTTGTTGTACCCATTCCTGTGCCCAAAGGCTGTGGTAGCTTAAGGAAAATCCTTCCTCCCTATAAGGAATAATTGTGAAGGAATTTCTAGTTGTACCTGTTTATCCTCTAATTACATCCCAAGATGTGAAAGCTATGGGAACCTGAAATTAGAACACTATGGAACCCAGCATGAACTTCTCTTGTAATTGTAGTGAGTGTGTTATTTGTATGCTAAGTCAGAAATCCAGTTACCCTGGGTGGCAGTCTCCACCCCAGGGACAGAGTTGAGGAAGAGGTGAGATGGGAACTTGGTTCTGCAAATTAAGAAGAGACCTTTGTCTGAGAATTACTGCGCTAGGGGTGAGTTATGAGCATCTCCTCCAGAGGTGTGGCTATGAAGGCATGCACCAAAAGGATGCACAGAAAAATGTGCAACACCTGCTTAGCCCCTTTGTAAGTGGGTGCACTCCTTGCACTTGAATTTAGAATCCACACCATTACTCCACTTCGTGATTTCTCATGTAATTGGCTTTCTTTTTTTTTGGGGGGGGGGTCTGGTCATGGGACCTTGAACTCTGGGCCTGGGCGCTGTCCCTCAGCTCTTCAGCTCAAGGCTAGCGTTCTACCACTTGAGCCACAGCGCCACTTCCGGCTTTTTGCTTATGTGGTGCTGAAAAATCGAACCCAGGGCCTCATGCATGCAAGGCAAGCACTCTACCACTGAGCCACCTTCCCAGCCCTTGGCTTTCTTTTATAGTTATTCTACCCAACAATTTCCAAGAACTCATTAATTTTAGAACCAAATTCAAGGTTAAATTGTAACTGTGTACATAAATAAATGTTAGGTAGTTCTCTATAAATTACTGTTTACATGAAATTGTGAGCATTTTTCCCCTTTTACTAATGCCACTTGTATCAATTGTGAAGAATACAATCCAAATTTGAAGGCTTTCTTTGGTTTGCTTTATGTTTTTTTGTGGTGCTGGAGATGGAACCCAAGTCCTTGCACATGCTAGACACTCACTCTAGCCTTGAGCTACATCCCTAACCCAGCCTTAGAGGCTCTCTTAGGGGTTTTAATATTTAGTTATTACTAAAGTATATGTATTGTTTATTTGCAGCTGGCTTTAGAAGAAGTTTCCGTCTTAGCAGAAAAGATAAGAAAACAAATAAATCCATGTATGAGTGCAAGAAGAGCGATCAGTATGATACAGCTGATGTGCCTACATATGAAGAAGTCACACCATATCAGCGACAGATGAATGACAAATACAGGCTTGTTGTCTTGGTTGGTAAGTATGTAATGTTTGTGTGTTTTTGTTTTTGTCGGTCGTGGGGCTTGAACTCTGGGCCTGGGCGCTGTCCCTCAGCTCTTCAGCTCAAGGCGAGCACTCTACCGCTTGAGCCACAGCGCCACTTCTGGTTTTCAAGTGGTTTATTGGAGATAAGCGTCTCACGGACTTTCCTGCCCAGGCTGGCTTTGAACTGCGATCCTCAGATCTCAGCCTCCTGAGTAGCTAGGATTAGAGGCATGAGCCACTGGCACCCGGCATGTTTGTGATTTTGAGGAAATAAGTGATACAGTAAAATTTTACATTGTAGTTGAATTTTCAAACTAAAAATTTCCTCATCTTGAATACTCTGCTTTGTCTCCAGAGTGAAATCGGAAATCATCTGGACATATACATCCTTTAGAGACATTTGTGGGTCTGTGCTGGTAGTGGGCCTTGAACTCATAGCCCGAGTTGAAGGCTAGCACTTTACCACTTGCCACACCTCCTTTTCCAGCTTTTGCTGGTTAAGTGGAGATAGTCTCACAGAGCCCAGTGTTCCTCATTACACAGGTCATTTTTTTTTTCATTTTAAAAATTTATTATTTATTATCTTTTTATTGTCAAGGTGAAATACAGTTACATAAATAAGGTAATAATAAATTTCTTGTTGAACTTTTTACCCCCTCCCTCATTTTTCTCCCACTTTCCCTCCCTCCACCCCTCCCCCCCCAACTTGTACAGATTATTTCTAGTATATGCTCTTGTGAGTATCATGGTTGTTTTTTTTTCTCCTCTTGTCCTCCGTCTCACCATTTTGTTATTGCATTTTCCCCTTTACTATTGATTTTAGAAACCACAGAATTGAGAAGCATGAGGGAATGGGTAGGTTGAAAGGAGGGCGAAGATGCTGAAGTGAAGGCACAGATCAAGATGCAGTGGCTATATAAACTGTTTTGTTAAATGGCAAAAAAACTGAATACATAGCCTAGAAGTTTTAAAATGAGAGGAATGGGAGGTAGGTTGGGAGGGGTGGGTAAGCATCTTGACAGGGGCGGTGTTGATCAAGATGTGCTGTATTTATAAACTACTTTGGTGAATAGCAATTCCTCCATACATCTACTTACAGATGGTAAAAATAATGTAAAAATTAAAGTATCAAGGTCGCTATTCTACTCAAATCCGGATTGATATTAAAGTCTTATTTAAGAACATGCCACAGATAAATAAAATAAATAAACTATACTTGAAACTAAAGAAAAGAAGAATCTCACAGACTTCCCTGCCTAGGCTGGCTTCGAGCAACAACCTACAGATCTCAGCCTTTGAGTAGCTAGGATTGCAAGCATATGCCACCAGCACCCTGCTTCTAGAGACTTTTAAGATGGTTCTAATGAATGGTTGTGGGATATTGATAGAACTGCTGTTAGAAAGGGAACTAGTTAACACTGAGATTTGTGGACTATGTCAGGATGAATAAGTAAAAGAAACAACTGTTTTTTAAGGCAGTGAAAATTTTGTTGAGCTTGCTTTCAGGCGGCACCCATGTTGTAAGCTTTCTGTGACATTTAGACCTTCAGTGTGATGAAGTATTACAACAGATTTCTCAGGGACTTCAAGCTGGAGAGCCAGTTAACAAAAGTGTTTTGAAGTGGTTAGTTCTTGCATATGGTATTACCACAGCACTGGTTGGCTTACCTCACATCAACCTTCTAGACTCTATGGAGTCCTGCTTTCATGGACATGACCATTCACAACCCCAATCACTTCACCCACTCTTGTTGTACTTTAAAAATGTGATGGGTGTCTGGGTGCCAGTGGCTCATGCCTAAAATCCTACCCACTACGGAGGCTGAGATCTGAGAATTACAGTCAGAAGCCAGCCCACACAGGAAGGGCCATGAGACTTTTATCTCCCCAAGAAAGTCAGCAATGGAGCTGTGCCTCAAATGGTACAGCACTGGCTTTGAGAGAAAAAGCCTGTGCCCTGAATTCAAGCCCCAGTAATAGCGCGAAACAAACAAACATGTGGCTATGTCAGCTTCCAGGATCTAGGCCAAAGACATTGGGAATTTAGAATAAAGGAATGTGGTGTTTATTACTAATTGTTCCTTTATAAACTCAACATGACAGTTACAGGGATGAGAATAAATGGGAAGGTAGGGACTCTCCCCATCTTTATAAGGGAAAGGCCTTTGAAAATCTGAAGCAGGTGGTGGTGACTCATGGGAAGCAATTCACTGTCTCACATCCGCTGGCACTGAAGGAATCGTTTGCCTCATCAGATATTAATTTTATGCCTTGCTTATAAATACATATTTGCATACTTCAAGGAAATTCAAATTTTCCTTTCTTAGAAGAGTCTGTATCTCCTCATCCATGTATGCTGAGCTCTCCTTTGTGCCTGGAAAATTAGTTCCACCATGTACAGCTGTACACATAGTAACAATGGCTGAAGACTACTTATTGTTCCCTTCACTCTTCACTGCAACTATGGTAAATACCTTATATATACATTTTACTCACAGGAAAACTGAAGGAGAGATATGCAAGTTGTCCAAAACCTCACAGCTGCTAAGCTATAGAGCTGAGTCAGCTGCAGGGCCTTAGAGACTAGAACCTTCTTTCTCATCTCATTGTAGAATACAGCTTCTTCTAAATCAAGGCAATGCTAGCTTGCCCTATTAGACCTGCTTTTGTTTTCTGTTTTTTTCTTTTTGGTTTAGGGTCCATCCATTCATTTTCTTAACAAATACCACATACTTATTTTGTAAAAGTGTAGATTTGTTTCTACCTAATGCATCAGTTGTTCACTAAACGATGCCCTGAGTCATATATTTCCATAGAAGCTTCCAGGTGGGTTTAGCAAGTTTTCTAGGCTCTCCTCTCTCCTCTGTAGTATTCATTCTCTACTTGGTCTTCATTCATTCCACATCATTCTTGTTTTACCACCTTTGTCTTTATAGTTTGCCGGTGATTTAAAGGACCCCAGACTGCTTTTCTTGGCCTTGCTCTCTGCAGTCTGCTCACATTTTCTACACTTCTCCTGGGTGCATTCCCCCAGACACTTGTGGGGGGCGGGGGGATCATGCTTGATGGAATTACTTGCTCTGTCCTCAGAAAGGAGAGAGTATACTTTTTTTTTTTTTGTAGTATCAGATAGTCTTAATGAATGAGTAGAAAGAGAAGCTCTGGCCCTTCTCTTGACCTTCAGCCCCTAGTACAGGGCTTCTCAGACTTGAACTTGTATTCCATCACAGGGGTCTTGTTAATGTGTAGTTCCTGAACTGATACACCTGAGATAAGGGGCCATAGTTTCCCACAATGCCATGCTGCTGGTCCCACTGATTAACAAAGGCACTGTGCTTTTTACTATTACTGTTGGTCCTAATTCAAGTGAGAACTAGTCCCATGCACACAGGGGCAGCCTTGTCACTTGGTTTCAATGGATTTGATTTCCCTCTTCAGTTGGTAATTGAACTGTGCAAATTATTTTCATTTGTCCTCTTGGCATTGCATTTCAGTTTTGTGCTTTCTCATGTTTGCATTTTAATGATGGTTAAAAACTTTGTTTTTATTTTTCAATATAGAATTTTATTGTAAAGATACTGTACAGAGGGGTTGCAGTTACATGAGTAAGGTAATGAGTGCATTTCCTATTGAGCGTTGTTACCCCTCCTTTGTTTTTCCCCTACCATCCCTTCCCTCCCCACTTTATTTTCATTTTATCCACATTTGCTCAGTGAGATTTTAGGCTTGATTTATCGGATTAGGTCCACTGATTTGTAATCATGTTTAGCCTTTATTCTGAATATTGTACAGGAAAAGAAAAACTTCTCATTTGAAGCTCTTTAAGCTCCAACACTGTTTTCTCATTTTGTAGCAATTGCTGAGAAGATGCAGTATTTCTTGAGTTGATAATGACTGCATTCTAACCAAGTGGACGTAATGGAGACTACTAGGCTTGTTCTTTTTGTCATGTCAGATTATATAGTCTACCCAGGGGAGCAGAATATATCCCATGTCTGTCTAGGAAAAGCCGAGAATGATGAACATATGTTATGTTGAAGCAAACTGCTTAGGAATGTTTCTAGTTAAGGAAAGATTTGTAACATGCCCAAATCAAGAATGCCTGAACAGGTGGAGGCTTGGACTGAATATTAACATGTGTCCTTTCATTCCCGTATGCTCTGTGCCCTTCTGTACAGAATGACATGCCAGGGGCAATCTGGACAACCCTGAGAGGTTTTACCTGTCTTCCAGAAATATTGCCTAGCATTTGTTTTCATCTGTATAGTCACTGCTCAGAAAACCTTTCCGCGCTTACATATGACCCCCCCCCCCCGCCTTTTTTTGTAAGTCATTTCTGGGGCTCTAACTTAGAACCTAGATGTTGTCCCTAAGCTTTTCTGATAAAAGTTAGTCCGCTATCATTTGAACCTTGTGGCTTTTTGCTGGTTAATTGGAGATAAGAGTCTCCTGGACTTTTCTACCCAGGATGGCTTTGAGCCACAATTCTCAGGTCTCAGCCTCCTGAGTAGCTAAGTTATAGGCATGAGCCACCAGTGCCTGGCTTACATAACACATCTGATGCCTTAGAAGTTTCAGCTTTGTAGTCTGGAGAAATGCCCATCTGCATGGTTTGAGTCAGGGTAGTGTAGAAGTTAGAAATGGGCCATGGAGGGCCACAGGTGGTGCTGCAGTTCTGTTCTGCCCTTCAGCAGGCAGGCAGGAGACAGCTTTTACCATATAGCACTTTGGACTTCTTTGTTCATCTGAAAAATGGAAATAATAAGAGCCTTCTAGGTTTGTTTTGAGGGTTAAACAAAACAATCTCTTTAAACACTTAGACCAATTGTTAGTACTTTTAATAAGGTTTAAAAAATGTTATACATTGTTGAAAAATATGGTATTCAAATATGAGTAGGTGACTTCTGGTTTTAAACCTCAGTTTCCAAACCACATAAGTTAGATTATTGAGTAATTTTATCATCTGAAGGACTGAGTCCAGCAGTGGACAC